ATATACATACATTGTGAAAGTAGGCTTGCCGAGATCAAAATATGAAATCTACATGCAAATTGACACCAAGGGATGAGGATGAGGACGAAGACAGGATCACGACTCACGTGACAGTACGGACAGATGAGGTTTCGGACAAAAACTATAAGCGATCGTGATCATCAATTCTGTCGTTTCATTGATCTTATTGAAGACATGATAATCTTGAAATTGACAAGAAATTTTAATTTTGTCCTTTGTTAAACAAAGAGTTCGAAATAATTCTTCAAAAATTCAGTGAAGGAACAGAAGTCACAAAACTTTATTTTAAGATAGAATCACGAGTTTTTATGTGCTAAAACATTTAATTGAACAACTTGATTCATTTGAAATTCATTTATGTGCTAAAATTCATATAAGAAATCAACTTGTATCTTTTAAACTTCCTTTTGAGCCTCATTATTATTTAATAATGCATTTTGAAATAATAGATTGATAAAAAATATGTGCTTAAAAAATAAGAAAAAGTTTGGAATTTTCGTGTAATATTATTTTATTAAAAATGTGTGGTTAAAAGGAAGAGAAAAAAATGAATTTTAGAAATACAATCTCATTATTTTTGAGCTATTACGGGATATCAAACGAAATCGAAATATTGCATTCTTAATATCATTTTGAAGTGTTCACGACCTAGTGTTTCACGCCGTTAACTGCGCATGAAACGGTCAATCGTAACAAATGTTACGGTGCGTTAAAATAGGTAATTTCAAAGTAGTATTTCATGAATTTCGACAACGTATTAATTTTAAAAATAAAATAAAATTCGATGATCGTACACTAGTCGAATCCATAAATTGTCTACGTCATCTTGAAACTCGTTTCAGAACTAGGGATGGCAACAGCTCGGATCGAGGTCGGGGTCAGAACTACTTTATAAATATATCGAATAGTCTAAATGAAGCAATGAACATCGAAAATAGTCATACGTGCCAAACGTGGGTAATAAAGTGAGGCTTATAACTCATATTTTCTTTATACTTTTCAATAATTTCATTAATGTTTATTATTTTTACACAACAAATTTCTCAATATAATTTTCATCATTTTTTAGGAAATGTTATATGGGTATCACGTAAAAAAAAAAATTGGATGTAAAATGACGTCATTTATAAAGTAAATTTTCAAAAATTTACATGAATGTTATAGTTAAGTGTTAATATACGCTTCGTATAGTGTGCGAGGTGGTCTTAATGATTAACAACTTAAGCTCAATATCGTCTTCAAGAGAAGTACAACTACCAATTGCGTTCCTAGAACTAACCTTCAACTTTTTTTAAGAATCTTTTTCATCGTGTTGAACAATAAAAATTGTACTTTGAGTATGCAACCCATTTGAATTCTATAATCAGTCTAAGTTAGAATTTTTCATAAAATGAGATTTACCCTAAAGAGTATCTATAAATTTGAAACTAATTTTAGACTAACTGTCCCACGCTTGATACATCTAAGGAGTCACACTCCTTCATGCTGTCTTACGGATGAAACCAGATTGCAAGTAGCCAAGTACCCCGTCAAAGGGCAATATCAAATCACAATCAGCCCCGTTTGATCTACATTAAAATTTTCATTCACATTCTTTTACTCTTTTTCAACCACACATTCTTCAATAAAATAATATTTTTCATCACATCAATAATTTTTTCTTCATTTTCAACCACACATTCTTCATCAATCTACAATTCCAAAATACATTCTTCCAAAATAATACGGCTCACCCTCAATTAAGGTTATTCCCCTTGTATAGGGGTGTAACGTGGTAGAAATTTTTATTTTTTTGTCGATACCCAATGGAATAATAGCAAGTGTTCTCCTATAAATCAATTTGGTAAAACTACTTGTACAATCCGTCAATTAAAACACCTAAAAGGTCAGAAGTAACGAAAAGTACAGAGGAAAAAAACTCGTTCAACCCGAAACCCATGGGGCCTGCCTCGAACGGGGCAGGGATTACCCGCTTAATCAGGTAAACGAGGCGAAGATCATTGCCCCGAAGCGGGTACGTTAATCATAGTCCCCGCTCCGCTACCCGTCCCGTTTAAAGTTAATTTTAAATTTAAGTTTTTATCAAATAAAAATAATATATTTATCATATATTTAACGAGAACATAAGTTATTTCTAACAAATTGGTAAAAACAGTAATAATATTTANAAGCAAAAAATAAAATAAATAAATGGGGTGATAAACGGGGTAAGGGACCCACCCTATCCCGCTCTGTCCCGCTTTAAATGGGTATGAAGATGGAGTAAGGTAACAAAAATACTCGATGTGATAGGGGTGGGAATGGTCGACCCATCCCATACCCGCCCTGTTGCCATCCCTAGGAGGAAATACCCAAATAGGAATTGGATTTTTGGTAGAATTTCATATTTAGCCATTGTTTAGTGTCCAATAGTTGTGGCAAGCGCCATTGCTCGCTGATGTATCATCGGCGCTGCTGGGCAGCAAGCTCCCAGTGCTGCACCAGCAGCAGCCGCGAGTGTCGCAGGCGACGCCTCTGATTTTCAGCAACGGTGCTGTCTGACGGGCGACGATGATGCCAGAGATAAATATGTGCATAGATTCATACAAACACATATTCAAACAAATCAAAAATCCCATACGCCATCACACCACCACACTGCTTCATATACACACATACGGGAGACTGCTGCGGAAACCATATATACACACATACAAACCAAATTCAAATCAGGGTGTAAATACTCAAATATCCATGTCTAATTTTGTTCTGTCGTAATTATTCAATGCAATCATGCTAAGGATAAGAATTACATTATTAATTAATGGTTCGAAATTCATACATGCGGAAGACATTGTTATGTATGAATATTACCAGCTAGATCTTCCTTTCATCACTCCTCAAAATAATTAGCTCACAATTGGGCAAGCGAAAACAATATGAAGAGGAGATGGGACATAGCCATTATATAGGAAATCATAAAATCGGCTCATTACTGACTCTAATCCTAATTAGGGTTTACATAATTCCGGCCCATATACTTAAAATTACAACATCATAATAACATAGCCTGTAAGGTGTACGTGGCCTAAGTGATGACTAATATATTTGGCCTAATTAATGTATTATTGCAAACCATACATCTAACCCGTAAAATTCGCAATCAAATGGAAGCGCATACATAATAGAATTATTCTAACATTCTCCCACTTGGGCAAATATTTGATTGCTATAGAACAAAACTTTTAACCTTCGGGCCAGACTACATAGGTAGCCACACAAGTATAGCTGCAATGATAACACATTACATAACATGATCCGGTCCAACAAGAATGTCAATATCGAACATGGAAGTCGTTACA